CTGTGCTTTTCGGACTCGATGCACGTTTTGAGGTGCTGACCTCAGGATTCTATCCCAGGGCCCTGAGTGCCTTGTTTTCTTCATCACCGTTGATGTTGCTCCTGGGTCTGATTCCAGGAAGGCTACAGTAGTTTGTAAACCTGTAGGGAAGCCCTATAAAGTCAGCCAGGCTTTTGGAAATGTTGTTGTATTCAGGAAGAGCAGAATGGTTCTTTTTTTTTAATTTTTAACTCGGGGGCCGAGGGCTCTGGCTCCGTTCTGTTCTGGGGAGCATCAGTCCAGTTCTTATTCCACCGGTGAGTCAAAAAAAATACAAGCTCGCACTCACCCACGCTCCTCCCCGTTACAGCCAGGAGGCCCAAGGGGGTGGCATTGATTGCTTCCAGTCGGAAGGATATACCACCCCTCGCCCCTGCCTAAGCTGACCTGAGAACTATACTGGGCTCACCCCTAACCCCTGCCTTTTGGCCGTAACTGCTGCCCGGGAGCTGTCCCGGGCTCAACCCTTAAAGCCCCCTCTTCGCCCTTGACTACCACAACCCACGCACCCCGGGCACGTCAAAGAGTACCCCGCCACACTCAGGCTATTCAGCTCCTGGCCGACCCTTGCCTTCCAGTGGCTTCCCACTTGTGGAGCATCTGGCGGCTGTGCCAACTTGTTTTTCCTTGACCAGCATAGTGCCGGCACCCCTGGGGACCCCAGGTCGGGTAATGACCAGTTGTAACCCGGCTGTCCAAGTCCCGGCCCCACAGCCAGGCCCTGGCTGTCCGGTTGCAATCACAGGTCTGATAAGGACATGTTCTCGGCGAGCCAGTCGTCTGTCACCCAGGTGTGTATGGCATGGTCGCAGTGCGGTTCGCTCTGGGTGGCACCGGAGGCCTGGGGTCACCAGAGGCATAACTCTTTGCCTTCAATGGTGGGTATCTTTCCTTGACCTAGGATGCGGTCATGGAATCTTTGCATGATTTTGCTCGCCTCCAGCGGATTCGCTCTAATCAGCAGACGAGTCCTCTCCCAGTCTGCGCTGATTCGATCTCCAGCAGCTGGAGGAAGTCCTTCCATGACTGGCACAGGTGATCCTGCAGGCCCCCGAGGACCACTGCGCATCTTCTCTTCCAGATGGTCCAGAGCGCCAGGGGGTGCAGAGTTGAGAATAGCAGCTTCTGGTAGGGTGCCAGGCGGCTGGGGGTAGCAGGCCTGTCAGCAGGAGCTGTGGCTGCTCTGGGAAGAGTGGAAACATTTTTTTGGTGGGCAGGTAATGCCAAGATACGGGTTCAGCCATATCTATTCGTTGATGTTGAGATACTGCCCCATCTTTTGTCTTGTTCTGGGCTGTTTGGAGCCCAGCGGACATAATTCTCAACCAGTATCATCAAGTCTTTGTCTGTGTGAGTCAAGAGTTTTTAACTTTTTCTGTCAAGCATGCATTATTACCTGTTTGATGAGAGCATGTGAAGTTGAGTTGGATAGTGATTGAATCCTTTGTGATTTTATTATCTCTCCATGTTCCTGCACCTGTTATCAGTTATCCCCACAGTCCATCGTTGACAATGCCTTGCTCCTCCTCCCGGCATACTGTGGCTGCCTCCGACCGCTCTACTACCTGTCTAGCCGAGCTCTACCTGATCCAGTAGCAGAGAACTACCACTGCTCCAACAGAGCACATAAGTATTGAATGGACCTGACGTGTAGAACGGCAACTCTCCTATCAATAGACAGATTCTGGGAAGGCTTTGTGCCTCCACCGCCCCTCTCCAGGGGCTAGTTTTCAATTACCAGGATCTTCCATCTCTGACCGTACAACAGATCAACGGCCAGGAACACAGGGATCCTCATAAGTGGGTCCCTGGTTGAGGAGATATGAATCGACAAGCTAGGAGGGGGGGGATGACACAAGCAGAGAATGAACCAAATGTGTGCTCACCCCTCGATTCATCAGCTTCTCGCACAATCAAGAAGGTTTCGTGCCCCTGCTGCCAATATCCCGGGGTGAAATCCCACTCACCAGGATCCACCATTTCTGATCATACATGACCACGTTCAAAGGCAGAAACAGACGATCATTACAAGCGAGTCCGGTGTCCGGGAGCTTAAGTAGCTATGAATCTACAGGCTACAAGGGTAGGTCCAAAGAAACGTTTGTGCAGTTGGGTCGATCCTACAGGTGAGACCCTTAGTTGGGGTCAGAAACCAGCACCCCAAGCCTCTCACTGCTAACTCACCAATTAGCCCTCACCACTGTCCTTGCAATGAACCTCGCAAGATTCAACTCAAAATACAACATGCAATTGAGAACATTAAAATGATGTTCACACAAGCTTGAGCGGTGTCCATGAACAGTGCAAATTTGAAGTTCCACTCAAGGCACAATAATATACACTTGAAAAAGTTCGGGAATAAGCGGTTTCAACCATACCTGCGGCGCATCGCGTCTGTGCTAGCTCCGCACTTGCGGCGCATAGCACACGCGCAAGCATGCGCGCGCACGTCATGCGGCGCACCCCAATAAATAACGTAAAAAAAAATATTCGGAAAGGGCTGGCTGAGGTAGCCAATGGTGCCCCTCCCTTCTCAGTCAAAGGGCACAGAAAAAGAAATTAGGCCCACATATTCCTTGTTAAATGGTCTATTGCCTGAAGGCCCCCAGCAGCGTATCTGCAAGGGTCCCCAGACTCCCAACATCTCGAGAGACGTTTAGCAAAATTCGTGTGAGAAACGAGCAAGCCACCAATATATGTTCTGGTTTCGAAGTGAGGTCTGCTTTCTAGCAGTTATGGGTTACATTACTACCGTGGCTCTCTCTTTCTTTTGTTTCGTTTTCCTACGAGCAGTGGCCCTAAGAGCCTTGCTGCACTCGTCACTACTTGCACAAAAGACAAAACATATGGCGGCGTATGGTTCCATGTTCCAGCAGAAGATTCATTCCTTTTCTTTTGTTTCCTTTTCCTACGAGCAGTGACCCTAAGGGCCTTGCTCCACTCGTTACCAGTTGCACAAAAGACAACATATGGCGACGTATGGTTCCATGTTCTAGCAGAAGATTCATTCTAGTTTTGCACATTTGGTGAGTAGTGGAGGGAAGCCCTGAAAAGCACGTGCTGAGTTGGCCTGCTACTGCCCAAAAACTCGCGTGCTCAGTGGTCCCATAACTGCTCAAACACGGACCTTAATGTGAATCAACAGCATATATACTTGGCGTGCCACGCCTCTAACATGACTATGACCATTGACTCGTTCATGGTGAGGAGGTCCCTGCTAATTCTTTGCAGGGACCTCTTGGATAACCCGCAGGGGTTTTCTAATAAATGTTAAGAAGCTATTTGTTTGGTGAACTTTGGCATAGTTCAAGTGGTAGAACGCATGTTTTGCAAGTATGAAGTTATCGGTTCAAGTTTGATTGTCTCCAATTTCCCAGTGAGCCCACGTAGCTCAGGTGGTAGAGCATTCCCTTGGTAAGGGAAAGGCCTCCGGTTCAAGTCCTCTCTCTCTCTCTCTCTCTCTCTCTCGCGCGCGCGCGCGCGCGTGTTCGCACACATAACAGCCTCTTCTCGTTGTGTTTTTTTTGTTTTTTGTTTTTTTTTTTTGTTTTTTTTTTTTTGTGCACTGGTGACCAGCGCACCGCACCGCATGGCGCACCGCACAATTGCGCCGCAGGTATGGTTTCCACCGCTGCAACACTCCTCAGGTATGTACCTGACTCCCTCCTCCTCCTCCTCTCCTTTTATCTCTCGCTCTCTCTCTCTTTATGCTCTACTTCTCTCTCTCTTTCACATGCACTGTTCCTCACTCACTGTTCCTCGCTCACTGTTCCTCACTCACTGTTCCTCACTCACTGTTTCTCACTCACTGTTCCTCTCTCTCAACAATGTACCACATCTACCCTGAATGCCTCTGCGGTGTGTCTCACTGCAAATGGGCGGTTACGGCCGCCAAACACTGTGTCTCCTCCCTCCTGGCTATGGTGGTCTGTTGCAGCCAGGGTGCTGGTCTTCTTCGTCCCTTCCTCTTCTTCGTCCAGGTCGCCAGTCTGCACAAGCTCCCAGCTGCGCTTCCACAACAACTTCCCCTCCGGGACAATAGTCCAAGATATATAGTTTTAGTGGACTGTTTCGTGCCTGCTTCAAGACCTCCTTCAGCCTCTGCCTTGCCAATTGCTATTTTAGGAAATTTCCAACGTTCTTGTGAGGCTGCTGCAAAATTTTACTTTTGGGGACTTCACGTGCTCCTACAGGTACTGTACTGTACTGTAGCCTACCGACCTACGGTGTCTGATCCTACAGGCCCTAAGACTCTAAACAATTGGGGCCTGGACTGTGGTAATTAGGAACCGTAGAACCGGTACTGGGAAAGCTTACAGCGTGAATCCATTCATCCTTAATGCTTCTAGATATGGACACAGTCTGCAAGCAGCCAAGCAACAAGTGCATGGCGGGCTTGTAGAAACACAAGGCAAGTCAGACGCAGAATATGAGCTAATAGAAGTTTCCCTAGAATGTGAATAACTAATTCAAGACCAAGAAAGATGGGAATATATGAGAAAACTCTGCTTCTGGGTCGCTCTTCACAGTCGCAAGCACCAGGTCTGGAGACAAAAATTGCGAACGTAAGGACCAGGGTGATTGTTGAAACTGCCACACCCAGGAATGGAGTGTCGCTCTCCACGGTCGCAATCACTCCCCATACAGTTACAGCAGGTGCTACTAGACATAATAAAAAATGACACACTGCAAAAGATTGGGAAACAGAAACATGAACAAATATTGACAAGATAGGATATAACTCGTCTGAAAGAAGTAATTGAAAGGTGGGAAGGGGAAATGAAACACGAGCAAGAGGAAACTTACTGTGCACTACTACTGCGCCTCGCAGGAGGCAGAAGGGCAATGCAAGAGATGAAGGAATAGAGGAAAACATAAACGATGTGGCCGGTATGCCAATGTGTACACAGTAGGTGCATGGCATAGAAGGCAGGGACAAATCGTAAATTGTAAATACCGACCTTTCCTTCACGTTCTCAAATCGCCGTCTCTCCTCAGGAGTCCACTTTCTGATCTTGCTTGCTGTTATGTCCTTGAACCCGATTGCATCCAGAAAGCAACGCAAGCGAACTTCATCCTATTCATGGAAAGAGATAAATGGCATCCACAACCATGCGATGTCAGCAAATCTCTCTCTCTCTCTCTCTCTCTCTCTCTCTCTCTCTCTCTCTCTCTC